TGATAAAAAATTTCTAGGGGGGGGAAAAAAAAAATTCGGCGCGCTTCGCGCGCCAAATTAAAAATATTTACCCCCCCCTACAGAATCCTTATATCCGCCCCTGACATCTGTCATCTATACGTACAGATACAATACAGTATACATGACCATATACAGTATACAACCATAAACTGCATTACACAATATTTAATAAAATTTTAGTAAGTGAAAAAAAAAACATTATTTGTAAAAAGTCAATTCAATTTATATAGAATATTTTGCCATCTTTTTCTTTAATCTTTTTTCTATGGTTTAAAAACTAGTTTTTGAATTTGATTATTACATTTTCATATTTTATAAAAACATATTAACCATTTTTACAGCGCGGCGTTCTGATAAAATAATTGAAGATCACCCTCATGGGAACGATACACTATACAGGGAGGGGGGGGGGGGCTATTGGAGCTCAGCACCCCCCCTCTCTAAAAATATGAATGAATTCTATAATTTTTTTTGAGCTCCAACGTCAGCTAAGCCGCCCAAGCTTGACAAAAAAATTAAGCCCTACTTAGATAGACAAATTCCTGAATACGCAGAGGCGCAACTAGGACCCCCTTTTCGAAAATTTTTCAAAAAGAAAAGTGCTTTTTTAAGGGTTTGAAGTCAAAAAAGCGGAAATTTTAAGTTGTTGCATGCAGATTTGGCTGTGTTCAATTCAAATCGATTTTTTGTTCTGGTGTTTTTACAAAATTTATACAATACTTCCAACAGCTGTAAAATGAATGATATGAGTCAATTCATAATCATTGAATATGTGTGAGAATCGCAAAAGAGTATTTTTTAAGTACCTGGTTGGTTTAATTACAGATATTAAATTGCAAGAAATAATCATAAAAATACATAGGTAAACAATAAATTCAATCATCTACATTGAAAAAGGACAGATAATGTTACCTTTTTTCTCTTGAAGTTATTGAATTAATGATTGATCCAACCAACATTCATAATCTAAATTCATTTTCGATTTTATAGAACTTCAGTCAAAGAAGATAAATCTTGTTAGTTATCAAATATGATAATCAGTTCGAAATTTGCCAGGTTCAGAATTTCCTCTAGATTTGGAATTGAGTTTTTGCCACAAACTCAAATATTCTAATCCCTAAATCTTTGCTCTGAGTGGTGTAAACATTTGATATTTCAAACTTGGAATATTTTACCAAAAGAATTCAAAGTTTGATATCTACGAGTACTCTATAAACTCAACACAAATAAAATACAGTTCAGATTTTTTATATTAAATGTTTACAATAGCCTTTAGCCTTGAGAATTGAGAAAGATAAAAATATTTTTTTTTAAACTAATCTAGTATATAAAATTTCTACAATAACTCTATTGGTTTTCTTATTCCTGTGATACTGATTTTCGCCATTCTTTCCTTCTTTTCATTCTGCAGGGGGTAGGGGCAGGGCGCGCCCCCCCTCTCAGGTGCTAGGGGAGGGCGCGCGCCCGGCCGCCCCCCCCCCTATTTACGCCTCTGTGAATACGTCCCCATGCTCACGTCCGGTATGATTTTTCGTATTTTACACTTGATATAAATGCCTAAACTCAAATTGCATGAGTTTAGGTCAACTATTTAAAAGGACAAAAAGGGAGAAAGATGGGTCGAAAGTTTGAAACCCCTTAAACTCCATTACTCTCCTCAGGGGCGCAACTAGGACTTTTGGTAGGGGGGGGCAGTATATTATTTTGTAAAGGTCTGGGGGGGGGGGGAA